AAATTCAAGCGGATATTCCGACGATAGCTTAAAGTTCATATTATCAAGAATTTGTCCCGGATGGGCCTGAATAATGGAAAGCGTTAATAAGTCGAAATATTAATTAATGGGGTAGTAGCGATTTGAGAAAACCATTTAAGGTACCTTAGATACATGTTTACTGTCTTACGCTGAGAAGACATCTTGAGATCGGCGCGCACTAAGGTCAGTCTACTTGATTGATTTTACGTTTTAGTTATATATTTAATGTTATGCAAATGGTCAGAGGAATCTTCAAAAGCTATGACCGTATAACTTTCATCACTGTACAAGACACTTCATTCTCAAGAGAAGCATTCAAGTGAAGGTTTAACATTCGTCTAAAGTTGAGAGGTTCTAAACAACGTGGCAACGAAATGAAACAACTGATTATCGAGAGTTAAAGAATTTATTACACTCACTAAGATAAAAATAAAAGATTTATTTAAGAAAAGAAAAAAAGAACGGGTTGCTCAGTTCAGTACTTGCCTGCGAAATGAGTAACTATCATGAGTGAAACTGAACTGATGCTGGCTATGATAGTTAATTAAAATTCAAGCCACAATTCAAACATCTAGCTCATCGAGTGTGGAGGAACTGCTAGAGATATAAATTAAATAAGATGTGCAAGATCAATCGAGTGAGATAGCTTCATTAGCCAACGTATTAATCAGATATTGGATGATACGAACTTGGTCAATAACGAAGTCGACATGATGTTACTAAGAATCTAAAAAGCTGAGAACTTAACAAAAATATATAAAATTAGCTATTACTGAGATAATAATAGAAAATAAAGTTGATGATTGAGGACAAGTGATAAAATATCATATTGACATTCTAATTATGTCACATTGTACAGAGATGAAATAGCAAGGCTAATGTGCAATTTATTTTGACATTCCGTCAAAAAGCCAGGATGAAGTAAAACGACTTTGGAATATTCGGCCTTTTCCGTCTATCCTGGGAAATACCTTGAATTGCGAAACTTTCTTAATGCCAATTTCTTAGACACCTAAATATGAATCTTAGCCCGCACTTAGCCGCCCCCGTATCTGTTACCGTTCCTGAGATTCCAATGGTGAGAATCGCTTACTCGGTAGAAAAATCCGTTGGTTTGAGGAACTACTCCATCTACCTCTCTGTCTCACGTCTTTGGACTGACTGGGAAATCAATTCGTATTGTTATTTTGGAATTTGGCTAGGGAGAGGGGGTGAAGCGAGGATAAAATCAGTGCGAAGCTGTTGGGTTAGATCATAGAACGGACGCTTTGAAGCTGGCGGTTTTGCGCAATTCAAGTAATTAAATTACTAACAGCTTCGCTAGTTTTCTTGTTTGTTCATATCATGTACCGTACGCTTGAACGGGGAGAAGAGAATGTTTTCTGCTTTATTAAGTATCTCAGAGGGGTGCTTTGTATAACAGCAAGGTTTATGTTGACGAAGTAGCACGTGTTATAATCTAGTCACATTGGGTTTCAAGTACAAAAAGTCTCATTCACCTCCCACTCATTTTCTAGACTAGGGCGTATAAATTAAAGCACAGATGAGAAAATAGTGCATTTACTGATATATTCGCAGACACGGAAACGATTAATAGTGCCAAAATAAGTAATATAGGCAGCTAGCAGTGATTGGCATAGGGGGTGCCAAGGTGGTGGTCCCCACGAGAATCCGATTCGAGCTTAAAATTTACATATTCAGCATTACTTTGTGCACAATTTTGAGGATCTTTAGGATTTGGCACCTTTTGAGAAAAGTTGGTATCCCCACTCTTCAAAAAGTTTTGAGAGCATTACGCTTTCACAAAAAGTTGTCGTTTCTCGAAGAGATCGCCTCTCTCCTTTATAAGAAATTCGTGTAGGCGCCCATGCTAAAAGTTATATACGATAATGCAGTCTTTGCTTAACTGTATAAGAAAAACCTGACGAAAAAAAATGTTAATGTGAAGAGCTATAGTCAGCCAAATTTCTTTACACTCTATGAATGAAGGAAGAGTGTATGTAAGCATATTAGTTTACTTGGTTCTTCTAACTGCTGCTTTAACATAAGTCTCAAGGGTTTAGGCACAAACATTATTCGAGGAAAAAAGATAGCACTGTCACTTGTGAGTAGTTCGACAATCGCGATATTACTGACCCCTACGTACTACGTACAGCTGCTGCTACAGTTTCCCGGCAACTCTGAATCTGCTTTTAAGGAGCCGGAGATGGTCGTTCACCACACAGTCGTCCCGTCGTCACTCAGGGGAGTACTAAGTACTCACCATGCCACCAGCATTGAGATACTAGATACGAGTTGCATAAGCTGAGGACAAGCTAAACTGTTTGCGTTATGTCTCTCTGGACATAAATAGAACGTTGAGCGAAGTTTTTATCAATCACCAGCATTTTTTAGCTCTAGTCATTTGAATACCGTCGATGGACCTATTGGATGGGTGGCAGTGCCACCTCTATGGCATTTTTTAAAATGAAATATTATATACTTTATTTTATAGTCGGATAGACGCTTCTCAACAAATGACGATTGATGTAATGTATCACTAGATTTTAATTTGAGAAACAGCTCAACTTTCACTGCCCACCAGTCCGCTATTTTAGAGGACAGTAAGCTTTGTATTCTATGGTTCTATAGTATGTAGTATGGAACTTGAAAATGATGATAATGATATAACCACCCATCTCATTTGAGAAAATTCTCAAGATGACACCCAACCACCACCTCAAACTTTTTGATTGTCACTTTTCGACCAGGATATTGTATCTATGTATCCATTTCATCATCCCAAATTTCAGTTTGCTAATCCGACTAGTTCAAAAAATCCGTCAGTTTTTTTACTAGCGACCATCACACTGTCAGTATTTACTGTCGTCTGTCGGTATTTACACTGGAATGTAATATTCATTGACCGCGTAGACAGGACTGATGTATAAATTAAAGTAGAAATCCGCTGTCACTAACGGAATGATAAGTAAAGACAGTAAATGCTGATCCTGTGACTTTCACCTTTGCCAGAGAATCAAACAACCAAAAACATAGTCCAATCGTATTAGCAAATTTCCCCGAAATAATTCTAAAGTATGGTTTTATTGGTGCAAGTTGTTCAATGGAGTATTTAAAACACGGTCGCATAAAATGGGCACACCAATTTTTGCGGGAAAACTTTTCATTGGACAACAAAGAATGAGAAAACGTCTTTTTTGGAATTAAATCTTAAGTGTTGACAGGAACGAAAAAACTTTTTATACAAGATCTTTAGCTATCTGTGACACCTACAAAATGAGATCACACGTAAAAAGATCAGACTAAAAGCAAAAATGTTTTGACGGAGAGACGAGGCAAAACGCAGTTTTTGACACTTGTTGGTAATGCGACGATAATTTCACGCAACTACTTGAAATTCCTTAACTCCGTAGGATTCATACTTCAAAATAACAACAACAAAATTGGAGTATATTGGTCAAGTAGTTTTTTAAGCATTTCTAATTGTTTATCCCAAGACACCTGTCTTCCAGCCATCACTACTAGTTTATTGAGCAATATACAGGGTTCGTTCAAAGAGCATTGAATTGCAAAATACACATGTTTACATTGCCGATACGAATCACAAACCATTCCGAAAGATAAATGTTATTTTTATACGAAAAACAAAGGTTTTTTTTTCTGCTAAACAAATTCAAACATTTCGTATTTGTGAGTAATTTACCAAATGTGTTTTGCACTATCTTTCAACTAACCCTGTATATTTCTCAATGTACCAGTAGTGATGGCCGGGAAACATGTGTTTTGGGATAAAGAATTATAAATTCTCAAAAACTACTTGACCAATCTACTCCAATTTTGTTGTGGTTATTTAGAAGTGCGAATCCTTCGAATTTCACGAATTAAAAAAATTTGCGGGAAACCATCGTCGCATTACCAACAAGTGCCAAAACATGCAGTCTGCCTCGGTTTTCGGCCATAACTTTTTTGTTACTAATGTGATCTTTTTGTAGGTCTCATAAATACCTAAAAATCTTATATGTTTTATCGTTCCTGCCAACACTTTCGATTGAATCCCAAGAAACACGTTTTCTTGTTCTTTATTGTGGAATAGAAACTTTTTCCACTAAAATTGGAGTAGTAGGACAACTCATTTGGTAACTCATCCATCAGGTTCTGTTAGTTTGCCCTCTATTTGACCTTGGGTGTCTGAAGACTTTGCAGACATGCAATAAGTGTATCGCCAACGACCAGGGGGTGAGATGTGCCAAAACGTGACGTCATGTATGCAGAAAAAAAGGCCTAAATACCATGTGACACACAAAAGTGAGTAGTGATTGAGAAAAGCTTTATGCATATGCAAGAGACAAGCCTCGCCTAGCCAAGCCTAATTTCAATCGTCCTCTAGTCATAATAATAATACTAATAATAATAATATGGGAAAGAGAAATAAATGAAACGACGGCGGTAGTGTGATATTAATATATATTTAATAGTGTATAAAACAACTTACATATATATCTGAAGCTGCGAAATGATGGAATGTGTTTTTGAAACTGTTGATAGAATAAGTTTTTCTATTGAAAATAATGTATCCCTGTTGAAGCAACTGCCTTATATTGTATTTTCCACAGTACATAATTGTACCTTTTCGTTTCAGTGTGACTGGATAATCATTCAGATCTTGTCCAATTACATATCCAATTGTTCGATTGTATTGATTTTTAATTTCTGTGTCGATGGGAATTTTTTTCCCTGAGTAATAGAATGCTAGATACAACTTTAATTCTGTTCTTCCATGAGCATGTAACTCATACAGGTAGAAAACTCCGTCTTCGATGTTGAATATCTGATCAGCAACTAAAACTGGTTCATTCTGGTAACACGTTGTTAGGGTAAAAAATTGAATGGCTAAACAGCAGCAGCAATTTCAACTAAATCCAGACAATTGATCTCTGAGTATGTTCTTCCTTTGAATGGTATATATGCATATATATATATATGTATTAAGTATCATACTGTCTTTTTATATTATCCGAAAGGGTAGGGGAGGAGGGAGGAGGAGGGTGATAAATATTACTATTCTTCATTTAACAGCCAAATTGTAAACGTAAACAGAACAATATTGCATTTTTTTTTGTCGTATGTTTGTGTATTGAAGAGTCACTTGTATGGTGAACTCAGTATTTTTCCAGCATGAACCGCAAATATATATATGAAGGCATGACCTGTTGATGTACTAATCACTAGCAGCGTATTAATTAACAGCATGAACCAACTAGATAATTATAACTAGTAACGCAAACGATTAAATATATCAGTTCAGTTATCACTCATGTGCTATGAAGTACTACGGTGGTGAAGGCTTACTGAATACAGCTATAAATAATTTACCTGTAGAACTACACATCCCAACGTACAGATACTGTGGTCCTGGCACTAAACTTGCTGAAAGGTTAGCCAGAAATGATCCAGGTGTGAACGGATTGGATGAAGCTTGTAAACAACACGATATATTTTATTCAAAAGAAAAAGATCTGAGTGATCGGCATTTGGCTGATAAGGTGCTGGCAAAACAAGCAATGAATAGGTTTCGTGCAAGTGATTCGTCTTGGAAGGAGAAGGTCGCCGCATTAGCTGTAGCAGGTGCTATGAAAGCTAAAGTAAAACTTGGAATGGGCTTAAAAGAAACCTCTCAAAGGCACCAAAAACGTAATATAAACAACTGTTTGAAGAAATTACATAAATTAGCGAAAGAATTACAGGGGTCTCAAAAACTGGTTCAAGACTCTGTTCAGATCCTACAAACTGAACAATCTCAAAAAGCTCAAAAAATATACTTGCGAAGGATAAGGAGAAAAGTAAATCTAGTGAGAAAAAAGTACGAGAAGTGAGAGGAATCAAGAAACACGAAACCAAAAAAATCTCTTGTAAAACATGAAACATTCAAAGTAAAGCGTGAACGAAAAACAAAATCTGATGTTAAAGAGAAGAAACGTGGCAGAAAACCAAAGTCTGCTTTAGAAAGCATAAATGAAAAAATCAAGAGAAGAGAAAACCAAAGACTCCAATTGAATACATGGACACTGATATAACAGAAGAAGGGCAAAAGAAAAACCAAAAAAGAGGAAACTGGATTCAGCCTTTACTACTACTACTACTTCATCGAATGATAAAAAAGTGAAAAAAACAAAAATAGATTTGGATGATCCAATTATAATTCCTGAGAAAAAATGCAGTACAAAACGTAAGAGAGAATCTGATAATGAAAAAAACGAACAACAAAAACGCAGGTTAGATATGAGTGACGTAATTCTATATCTATGGAAACAAAAAAATAGAAAACGGAAGATTCAACCAGATAATGATAATGATCGTGATAATGATGATGATGATGATAGTAACATACCTAGGAAAGTTAAAGTTATAAATACCTAGTAATCTACACATTGAAATTCAGTAATGAAAATGGTACGTAAGAAGAATGTTAATCCTAAGAAAAGAGCTACAATTGACCGACAACAACAACAACGATCACGGCGTTAGAAAAAAAAGATAAAGACTAAGAGGAAAACGAAAAGTATTTCGAGCAGTAAAATAAAAAGAAGGAAGGTTAGCTTTTCTAGCGCAATTAAACAAATAGGGAAACGTGTGGTAGATCAAAAACCTACTACCTTTGGAGAAGCAATACTTGTAGCATTGAGGTAGGCACAGAATTTGAAAAAAGGTTAAAAAAAGCCGCCAAATCATATAGTGAAGATACCGAAGAAAAGAGGTATACTACCACTAATCCCAATTTTTGCTGGCTTATCAGCCCGACTCATCGATTTTGAGCAAAATGTTACAATAGGTGGGTTATTAGGGTTTAGTAAGAGAAAATTGAGTCCACATAAACTGCACATCTCAGATTTTCCTATAAATGTTTCCAAAGTGAACTCTATATGTGTGGAATGTGATCTGATAACGAATTCTTTTAGAAATGATCATGCTGTTCACACGTTGCATATGTTCTACCCTAACGTGCCTAGTGGATATCGCATAATAGAAAAAGTATCAAATATCGTTTATCTACCAATAAATAGCCATTACATTGATGAAATAGTGCTCAAAGTACTGGATCAAGACGGAAATCTGGTTAATTTTGAAGGAGAGGTAATAACGATAAGAGTACATTTAAGAGAACTTTAGTATGGTATTCCTTTATAATTTTGTAGTACCGTTGAGCTCAGCTAACAGCGACAACAACAACAACAACAACAAGGATAAAGCTCAAAGTAGATCAACAAAAATTATTAATAAACAAATTCATGCTGGTAAAACAGTTAGTAGTAAACAAGGAAGCAAGGCATTAACATCCGAAAATATACAATTTCTACAGTTGCTTGGCTTTAAGGTGATTGCATAAGTGTGGCTGACGCATATTAAGAACAAAAACGGTCAATAGTGATAGTAATAGCAGCAGCAGCAGCAGCAACACCAGCACTGCTGAATTGATACTCTGCATAAAATTAGCACTCTACTCTGAACTACAAAAGTTATTTGTCCATCTCAAGTGTAGCTGTTTGAAAAAACAAAGAAAAAAATATGAGCTTTAATATTCTCTACATAGGTGAAAATATTCTTATGGATAATTCAATTACCAATTGTGAAATGCATAGCCATCCACCATACGCTAATACTTTCAATATATCAGATGAAATAAGAATACCAATATAAGTAGAGGCAAAGGAGAAGAAATGGCCACCAACATTGTGTCTCGTCACTAATTTTGTGTCATTTTTGTTTGATGAATTGAGATATGAAATTGGAGGTATAGTTGTTGATAGAGTTCGCAATCCTGATATAACCAGCACCATTAGAGGACTGTTATCTTTCACAAACAATGAAGGTAATAGTTACCAACATGCAGGCTGCAATCATCAAGAATTACCCGAAATACGGAACAGTGAAGGTTATTTTAGTGTAACGATTCCACTGAAAAATCTCATGGGTTTTTTTGAAGACTTTAAAAAAGTACTAATCAACATCAGACAGGAATTGGTCCTTATAAGAAGCTCCACAGATGTGAATGCAATTGTAACGACAACACCTGGCGAGAAACCTCATTTAGATCTGTCACACATTTAAGTTGCTATTACTGAAAAATTACACCTTATGAGGTACATAGAGAAAGGAAGGGACTTACAACTAGCGTTCAGGAGTTGGGAGTTGCATGAGTACCCCGTTTTATAACAGACAAATAAACATACATGGAATGTCAAGGCTACCAATCACTTGGAAAAACCACGTTTCGTTATTGTTGCTTTTCAAACTGATCGGAAAGGACAGCTGACTAAAAACTTGAGTCACTTTGATCACTGTAACCTGAGCAACATCAAATTATTTTTGAATTCTGAAATTTATCCATATGACAATGTAACTTTTAATATGAACAGAAATTATTTTAGTATCTTGTATGAAATGTATCTGAGCTTTCAGCAGTCTTATTATTATAGAAATTCCAGTGAGTCGTGTCAAAACTTGAAACAGTTGATTGATGCAACCCCGTTGTTTGTTATTGACTGTAGTAGGCAAAACGAGACACTGAAATCGGGTTCTGTTGATATTAGATTGGAATTTGAAGCGGCAGTAAATATACCACCTAAGACTGCCTTTTGTCTGATATTACATGATCGTCTTGTAGAATATAATCCATTAAATAGTACTGTAAAAGTTTTTTGAAAAATATGTTGAACTTGTATTGAATAGAAACAGTGTGTGTGTATGTGTGTGTTTTTTTTCTGTGAATAAAACATTAGTTGTGAAGAAATTAGTTTTTTTTATTCAAAATATGTTTTGTGACAATAATAATATGTCATTATCATCATCACCACCACCACCACCACCACGTCTGCAAGTTGAGGTTGATGCTGATGGTGCTGCACCATCCGTCTGCATCGGCCTGGGCTGCTCCTCATGCTCTTCCTCCTCCGCCTCCTCCTCCTCCTCCTCCTCCTCCTCCTCTTTCACATGTTGCAGGACAGGTGGCTCTAGATACAACTTTCTCTTCTTCTGCATACTTCCACCACCACTTGTCCCTGGTCGATCCTGTATCGCTTGCTGCTTATTAATATCTTCTAACTGCTCGTCTAATAAATTGAATCTATATTTTTTAACTATTCGCTCTAATACTTGGAATTCTGCATCTTTATCTAATTTAGTTAGGAGATATTTGATAGGCAGCAAGCCGAATTTTCGCTTTAACGTCGCTGCTCTTGGGGAGTAGGTCAATTTGACAAATATTTTGTCGCCACTTGCCTTGACCTCTCTGACACCGTATCTGTTGAACAAAAAAAACTATTGTTAAATATCTGATTTAAATCTCCAACTGCAAATCGTGCAATTGCTTTTTCAGCAATCAAATGAAACCATACACAAAAAAACCTGTAAACTCATTTTTCTCGCAATAACATAATTAAGCTCTGAGGATATGAATAGAACTTGATATCTACTGGCAGACCAGGTGATTGTTTTATTTCTTTTGGGATGCTTTAGAGTGTCTGCAAACGTGATCCATCCACAACATTACCATAATGTGCGGAATGACAACAATAATAATAACACAATAGCAATAGCAAAACAGTGGAGAGAGAGAGAGACCAAAAATAAATAATATAATGTTACTTACTGAAATAATTCCTTTATGACCACCAAGAGGTCATTTATCGGTAAATTCATCTTCCGTGAACACAATTATGGTTGTTGGTGTTGTTGCCATTGTAAGTTAGTAGCATTTCTATGAGTTTTCACTCGAAACTGATACTGACTGCCTACACACACTAGCAATTTATACAGATATTTGAGGAAAAAAAATCATCCATATCAACTGCATAGAAATGCAAGATGGATGTTATGATCAAACAAAAACTGCATAGAAATGCAATATAGATGTTACGATCAAACAAAATCGTATGATTCCAGAATTGCATGATACCCAATGTCAGGACGGTCATCACCATCTACGTCATTTTCCATATCAAGGGAAAAAATTAGATTTTTCTCTGCAGATGTGCATGTTTTTCAAAATAAAATATAGTATCTGTTTAGAGTCAGGAGGGTCATCATCATCTACGTCATTCTCCATATCGAGGGGAAAAATTAGATTTTTTCTGCAGATGTGCATTATTTCCAAAGAAAATATAGTATCTATTTAAGGTCAGGAGGGTCATCATCGTCATTGTCCATGTGATCTGCAGATGTGCATGGGATGTTTTCCAAACAAAATCGTATGATTTAGTATCAGTGAAAAGAAAAAATAGGCATGTTTGTTAGATTTTCACTGTATTTAAGCCAGCATCTTGAGCACAGTTGTCATCAGTGATCTCATGTTTAACCATCTGCACAGATCTCCGAAGAAACAATGAGTAGCCAAAAAGTAATCGATACCATGTCTGACGAATTTGTTAGAAGAATAGAAATGGTGAGTAGATTAGTTAGGACAAAAACAGATTACAATGTTTATAGTAAAGAGATTAAAAAATGTATTAGAATGCTTGATAATTGTATGAAACATAGGTTTGATTGTGTTGAAAATTTCTCAAGTATAGAGTCTAATTTGTCACTTCCTAAGAGTTACCTTGAAATTTTCAGATGTCAAATAAATCGTAAAAACAAAAATAGAGAATTTGTTTGGTCAAATGTGGATTCATGCTTTAACAATAGAATTAAGTCAGGTGTTATAATTATTTTGAAAATAAAATATCCAAAATTATTTTTCAAGAGAGCGTTCAAAAGTTTTGCGATACAAATAAGAAAACAACTTGATACTTGTATATTAAATGTAACGTTGTTTTTTATAGTGTGTTCATTAAACCTCAGACTGCTGAAAGATCGATCAAACATTTTGCTACAAAAAATAATATAATTGATAAAAATACCAATTTAAGAGAGTGGTATAAAGTTTGTCACTGATCAAGTTTTAACAAAATTAGAAGAATTCCAAGAACGTGATTCTGGATGGGCTTTGTTGGAAATTTTACACTTGAAAGTGAATATCAATAGATATTGTCCCATAAATGTTGGTGTTTCGACTTATGTTCCTACACCAACATTTATAAAAAAAGTGTCATCGATATTCAAAATAATGATAATTATTGCTTTCTGTGGACAGTTGTAAGCGCTTTGTATCCTGCAGAAAAAATGTAGCTCGACAATCATCATATCCTCATTTCAGTAGAGTATTGAAATACGACAATATTAGATTTCCTATACATTTGAAAGATATACCTAAATTTGAGATTATGAACAAACTAGCGATAAATGTGTTCACACTCGTAGGCAATCGAATGAATGAAGTTGTACCATTGATACTCAGTAAAACTAATTTCACGCCTAAAATCAATTTACTGTGTGTTTTCCAATAATGATGTTTTCAATTGGAATGCTGACACTATTTATCATTCTGCGTATATAAAAAAATTTATCACGCCTAATATGTAGACAAATAGGTTAGAAAGATCATAAAAAATGGATTTGTGAAAGGTGCCTAAATTATTTTTCAAGTGAAGCTTATTTGAGTAAGCATTCTGAAGACTGTAAACAGCTTAACAGCACTATGATCGTTATGCCTAAAGCAACTAACAATATTATGAAATTTAAAAACTTTCACAATAAATTATGTGTTCCTTTTACCATTTATGCAGACATTGAAAGTATAATAATGGATTATAATGATAATGCTGATGATAATAGTGCAAGCAAGACACAAAAGTGTCAAAAGCACGTGGCTTTCAGCGTAGCTTATTATCTTAAATCGAATTATGAAAATAAATATTCTTCCAAGTTTAGATTGCATACGGGTGCTGATTGTCAAAGTTGGTTTGTTAATGAATTGCTCAACATTGCCAATGAACTTCATAAAGTTTATCATGAAGCAGAACCATTAAAACTGACCAGTGTTGAGCAGAAACTTTTTCGATTGGCTTCCAGTTGTAGTATTTGTGAGAAAACTTTTGATGAACATGAAGTGAAAGCTACAGATCATTGTCGCTTCACAGGTAAATATAGAGGAGCAGCACATATGTCTTGCAACTTGAACTATTCAAATTCACTTACTGTACCTGTGTTGTTACACAATTTTTCTGGATACGAAGCACATTTCATAATCAAAGCTTTCAGCACTAATATCGAGGGCAATCTCGCTTTATAACCTTTAAAAAAAGGGCGTTATATTTCGTTTACAATTGCCGGTACTAAAATCAGTTTTCGATTTCTTATTCCTTCCGGTTCCTACCTAGTAGTCCGGATAAATTATCATCATATCTAGATCATCATCAAAAGAAAATAGCAAGGGAACATATTCCTAAAGATGCTAAGTTTGAGTTGGTAACAAAGAAGGGGGTTTTTCCTTATGAATATCTAAATTTATGGGAGAAATTAAAAGATACAAAGTTGCCAGAAAAAGACGAGTTTTTAGCACCGTCAAAAACGAGGCTATTTCGACTGATGACTATCAGCATGTACTAAATGTTTGGCAGGCTTTTAATATCGAAAATTTTCAGGAATACGCTGAATTATACTTAAAAACTGATGTTTTGCTGCTTTATGATGTTTTCGAAAATTTCCGTCAAATGTGTTTGCAGACATACAATTTAGATGCATTGCACTATTATACTACGCCAGGTCTAGCCTTTGATGCTATGCTTAAAGTCACTAATGTTGAAATAGAGCTGTTGACTGACAGTCAGCTTTGTTCATAGAAAAAGGTATCAGAGGAGGTATATCTCAATGTTCTAACAGGTACGGTAAGGCTAACAATGAATATATGAATAGTTAATATATTCCTGATTTACAACTTCGTTGTTGATGTACTATGATGTCATAATTTGTATGGAGCTGCAATGTCACATTCTCTAACCATATGTGGATTCTCAATGGGTTCCAATTGAAAACATCTCTATTGAAAATATCTTGAGCGATGAGAAAAATGAATATGGGTACATCCTATAAGTTGATCTACATTATCCTCTTCACTTACGCGATCTACACAAAAATCTAGCATTATGTCCTGAGCATTTAGTACCACCTACTTCGTACTCTGATAAACCAAAATTGTTAACAACTCTGTACGATAAACAAAAGTATGTCGTCCATTATACATTACTAAAACAAGCTATGCAACTGGGTATTGTCATCAGAAAAGTTCATCGTTGTTTGAGATTCAAATAGTCAGCTTGGTTAAAAAAGTACGTTGATCTCAATACAGAGTTGAGAAAGCAAAGTAAGAATAATTTCGAGAATTTTTTTTTAAATTAATGAATAATTCCCCTTATGGCAAAACGATTGAAAATGTTAGGAAATATAAAGACATCAAGTTGGTAACTAGGTGGAAGATATGGTGCAAGATACTACATTGCACAACCTAACTTTCATAGCTGCAATATATTTAGTAAAGATATGTTCATAATTGAAATGAACAGACTGAAAGCTACATTAAACAAACCAATTTTTATAGGTATGTCAATATTGGACATATCTAAAACTTATATATATATATATATATATATATATATATACAGGGTGACTTCGAAGTTGAGTCATTTATTTTAACAGTGTGTAGATCTGATCAAAAGAAATGTTTTTTTCCTTTACCATTTTTCTGGTAAAATTAAAGTAACAAAGTTATAGCCCTTTGGAAGTTTGAGTACCGCCCTGTCTCAATAATATCATGTGTTCGTGTTTGGCAACAACGGTTCATCGCATCGGAAACAAAAAAGCGAAAGAATTTGGAACGATGTTTTTACGATTACAATTCAGTTCAGTTATACATACAGTCAGTTTCAGTCGCGTGTGAATAGTGAAATAAAAAATGGCACATGTTTATGCGGATCGGTTTCCCAATCGAGTGCAACCAACCCCTCGTGCCTTTGTTAATGTAGTACAACGGGCTCGTGAATCAGGTGACTTAAGACCTCACAGGGGACCTCACGATCAAATACAGGTCCGCACTGAAATACTTGTCGGGAGGATACTTTATAAAACAAGGTAAAAATTTTTTTTAATTTTTTTTTTATTTTTACACACATATTTTGGTTTATCTTCCTTCTACAATCATTATCTGAAAATTAATGACTCAACTTCAAAGTCACCCTGTATATATATATATATATATATATGATTTTCATTACAATTAAATTAAACACCAATTCAAAGATGATTCAAAATTGCTATATACTGATACAGATAGCTTAATGTATCAGTTTTCAAATGTTGATGACATTTACGAGCACATCAAAGAAGACATTGATAGGTTTGATACATCCGATTATCCAGAAAATAACGCTTTTAGAATTCCATTCAAAAATAAAAAAGTCTTAGGTTTAATGAAGGATGAAAATCAAGGTCGAATAATGACACATCTTATTGGGTTGCGTTCAAAAATGTATGCTTTGAGACTTCTGAGTCAGGTGAAAAAAAAAGACTCGCATATTATTAAAAAAAGCTAACGGAATTCAGAAGTCAGCTCTGAAGGAATTTGATGATTGCCATAAATGTGTATTCCAAAATACTCAAGTAGCTTTAACCCAACAGTCCATAATTTTGAAATTGCATGATGTATTCACAATTTCCTAACAAAAAATTGCATTGAGTCCATATGACGATAAAAGAATTGTCAACTATATTTATACAGACACGAAACCGTGGGGATATCATGACTACTTTTAATTTCACTACTTTTCATTATCTCTTTGTCTGTTTTTGTCCATAGAATTAATCTACCACCACGTTAACTTTAGCCACACACAATAAAATGTAAGTATTTATATATATATATATATATATATATATATGAGAAGTAGTAATTGCCAAAGCCAACGACTAGTTGGGTACAAAATACAATTACTTGTTAAT